GCAATGGCTATTGTGAGAAAATTTGGTAAACCTGATCTTTTTATTACGATGACGTGTAATCCAAACTGGCGTGAAATACACGAAAATTTATTACCTAACCAAACTGCCTCTGACAGACCAGATATTGTATCGCGTGTTTTTACCATAAAAAAGATAAACTTATTAATACTATTGTAAAGGAACAATTATTTGGCGAAGTGATTGCTTATGTGTATGTCATTGAATATCAAAAACGTGGATTGCCGCATATGCATTTATTAGTGACTTTGAAACAAAATTATAAAATAGCAACACCCGAGATTGTAGACAAATATATTTTGGCAGAAATTCCAAGTCAATCAGAAAATGTTATACGTCATGACATCGTTATAAAAAATATGATTCATGGCCCATGTGGAAATTGGTGTAAAGATAATAATAGTAAATGTTTGAAAGGTTTCCCAAAGCAATTCTGTTCTGAGACAATAATAGATGAAAACGGATACCCAACGTATCGCCGCCTTAATACAAGACAATACGATCGCCTAAATGGAGGAACTACAGATAATCAATACGTTGTTCCATACAATCCTACATTACTTTAGTTATTTAATTGTCATATTAATGTAGAAGTAGTTTCAAGTATTAAATCCGTAAAATATTTGTATAAATATATCTTTAAAGGAAATGATGCTGCTGTTGTAGTAATTACCGATAGTAGTAATAATACAAGTTCTTTAGAATATGATGAAATAAAAAACTTTATTGAAACTCGATATGTTAGTCCTGTTGAAGCATCTGATAGAATATTTGGTAGACCATTACAGAGTAAAAGTCATTCTATTCTCCGATTACCTGTTCATTTAATTAATCGGCATACTGTAACCATTAGTGAAGAAGCAAATGATGATGCTATAAATGAAGCTTTACAGAAACGGACTATGTTATTAGAATACTTCGATTTAAATAGGCGTGATCCACAAGCTAGACAATATACATATGCAGAAATTCCATGTTATTATGTTTTTAAGAAAGAACGTGGTGAAATACATTAAAATGGGTGAAGCGTAAAGGGTCATTTAATGTCATTGGACGGATGTATTCAATTTCGCCCAGTCAATCAAAACTGTTTTATCTTAGATTACTTTTAATAGTAGTTAAAGGCGCTACAAGTTATGATCATCTGCGAACTGTCAACAATATTGTACATGACACTTTTCGTAGTGCATGTTTAGCATTAGGCCTTATTGAAGATGATGAAGAATGGGAACGTGCTTTAACAGAAGGAGAAGTATGGATGATGCCACAACAATTAAGACGTTTATTTGTGCGTATTTTAATTTATTGCCATCCAGTTCATCCAAACGAACTTTGGGAAAAGTTTAAAGAGGCTATGTCTGAAGATTATCAGAAAAATTATCCATCTAATGAAGCTCATAAAAGAGCATATAATGATATAATTAACTTTCTGTTGCATGAAGGATCAAATATTCGCAATTTTCCTGAAATGATACAGTTAAATGAAATAAGTATTGAAACAGAAAATCAAACAAACAACGAAATGTCATTACAACAACATAAAGAGATTGGTGAAATGCAATATGTGAAACTGAATTCCAAACAGAAGTATATTCTTGATGAAGTATTAAATGTAGTTATCCAAGATAAAAGAATACCATCTTCTTCATGTTATTACATTGATGGACCAGGTGGATCCGGAAAAACTTTTGTTTATACAACTTTATACCATTTGTTAAGAAGTAAAGGAAAATGTGTTTGTACTATGGCATTTACAGGCATTGCCGCAATATTACTTCCCCGTGGTAAAACTGTACATAAAACGTTTGGGATGCCTGTTCCATTGTTCTATGATTCTACATCAAATATTAAAAGTCAATCTAAAGAAGCTACATTTTTGAAAGAGGTTGATGTCTTTATTTGGGATAAAGCTCCAATGGCACCAAGATATGCTATGGAATTAATTGATAGAACATTACGCGATTTTATGAATGTTGATATGCCATTTGGTGGAAAAACTATGCTTTTGGGTGGTGATTTTAGACAATTATTGCCTGTTAAAGTTAATGCTACTAGAAGCGAATTAGTTAATTTATCTATTAAATCTAGCACATTATGGAGTCATTTTAAGGTAATATCATTAACAGAAAATATGAAAACTTTACCTGGTGAAATAGAATTTTCAGAATATTTATTATCAGTTGGAAATGGTACTTTAAATGATAATGATAATAATATACTAGCACCAGAGCAATGTGTAGAGAATGGTGATATCATTCATAAAATATTTGGAGAATTAATTATCAATAAAAAATACGATGATTTAGCAAAAGTAGCAATATTGTCTGCTCGAAATGTTGATGTTGATGAAATTAACAACAAGGTACTTGAACTGTTTGATAATAAAAGTGAGCGAATTTATACAAGTGTTGATAGTACCGAAAATTGTGATAATGGAAGTATAAATGATGCTATTTTAACAGAGTATTTGAATACTTTAAATCCATCAAATTTCCCGCCTTATGAATTACGATTAAGAGCCAATTGTATTGTCATGCTACTTCGAAATCTTAGTATTAATGAAGGTTTATGTAATGGAACGCGAATGCAGGTATTAGAACTATCAAACAATCTGCTACGTTGTCGTATTTTAACAGGTGATAAGGTTGGAGATATTGTATTTATAAATCGTATTACGCTGTATTGTGAGGATATTTATCCTTTTACTTTCAAACGACGGCAATTTCCTATAAAATTAGCATTCGCAATGACAATAAATAAAAGCCAAGGACAAACTTTTGACAAGATTGGTGTAGACCTTCGTAAAAATGTATTTAATCATGGGCAAGTATATGTTGCATTTTCACGAGTTAAATCTTGGGAATCATTAATTATATATTTAGGAAATCAAAGACCTAATTTACTAATCAAGAATTATGTTTACACTGAATTATTGAAATAAAAGTAAATATTTTTTCTATAAAAATGTCTGAGTCGTTATATATTTTTTTTTCTTAAAAAAGGAGTGTGTCTCAGTATGGCTGTCTTTACGCGTGAGACTTTCTTCGACGCTTCTTATTGGTAAATTGCGTCATTTTTTTGTAATAAGATTCACACGTAAGATTTCTTTACACGTTTCTTTCTTATCAATTGGTCAAAGACGTTTTAATTTCCTAATTTCAAATAATAGTTCAAACTTCAGATAATTAAGACACTTATTTGTACGTATTTTAATGTACTGCCAACCAGTTCATTTAAATGAACTTTGAAAAAAGTTTAAAGATAATATTTCTCAAGATTATTAACGAAATTTTGCATCTCATGAATCTTATAGAAAAGCATATATTGAAATAAATTATTTTCTTCGAAATGACGGAGTACTTACATTTTTTGTATAATATTTACAGAAACCACACTTATATTTCTTTTTTATTAATATTAATTAATCATACTGAATAAATAGTAAGTTTGACTTTTATAAATCTTTTTACATTTCTAAAATTATCTTTACTTTATTCTATATTGTATAAATCCATTTATTTTCATATGCATTTTTTTATAAATATTTCTTTTGTTTTTTTTCTGAGATAGAAGTATGATTTAGTAAATTATTTTCAGAGGCCTACAGAACGTAAAGTTAAAAAAAATACCAAAAAATTTATTGGCACTTTTAACTATCAATAATTGAAAGAAGATAAAAAAGCTTCCTCAATATAATATATACCAATTGTTTAATTTTTACATTCTCATCAAAAATGAGAAATTATTAGTTTTGGTCGAAAATTGACTTTCGCTAATTTCATGAAATCTCGACGTTTTGGGGTCCCCTGAGTCCAAAAAATATGGTCTAGAAAAAGTGTCTGTCCGTATGTCTGTCTTCGTGTCTGTCTGTAGACACAATGGTGTCCCTACGATAACTCTTGAAAAACTTATTGCATCAACTTGCAACTTTGCATGCACAAAGTTAGTGTTAAAATACAGATCGAGTTCGTTAGCCAGCCATTTTCGTCGAAAACTACGCAAACTACAGTAGTTTCAAAATTTTGAAAACTCAATTTTTTCAAATTTCATTATTTTTAACTTTATATTACTTTAGATTAGAAAAATGCAAACAACTTTTCTCTACAACATTTTTTCATAGAAAGTCAAATTTCGAAGTTATAGACTCTTAAATAGTAAAAAAATACTCAAAAATCCTAAAATAACGCTAAAAATCAAAATTTCTCAAAGAGAAAAAAATTATTACATTAATTTCCACATATTCTCACCCCATTGTACTCAAAAAATGCTCACATTAACCAAAAACTAGTAATTTCCGGAAAAACCACCGTATATATATTTTTTATCATTTTTTTAACAAAAAATCCATATTCCGACTCAATTATCTCCAAAACTATTGCCTATGGGAGCTTGCTACCAGAGACTTTTTTTCTCGTCTTACCATCAGCTACAACTTTGCTGTTGACAACTTTTTACTAAACTTAAAACTTTTCGACTTATTTGCAAAAAACTAATTACATTCTCATCAAAAATGAGAAAGTTTTGGATTTGTGTGATTTTGAGCATTGTCTAATTTTGGTAAATCTTCACGTTTCATGACCCCCTGATTCCAAAAAAATGGTTTTTAGCGAAGTGTCTGTCTGTCTGTTGGTCTGTAGAAAATTTTGTCTCGACGATAACTCGAATAAATTTTTATGAATCGATTTGCAATTTGGGAACTTTTTAGTCAATAATAATGAAGCCTGAGTTCGTTGGACAGCTCATTTCGTCAAAAAATAACAAAAATACAAAATTTTGAAATTTTCAAAATTTTGTATTTTTGACAATTTTCAAAAAAATATTTTTTTTTATTTTTTTCCTTGAATTTTCAACAAAATCAAGCAATTTTTTCTTGAGATACTTTTTCGTACAACAAGAAATTTTTAAAGTATCAAATCAATCTCAGAACTTTTTTTGGGTTGTCTACTTCAGACATTTTGCATCATATACGAAATTTAACTTACCTCCAAATACTTTACAAATCAAAAGAAGATTATATCCTTCCAGAAATGGACCACTAATTCCTCTTACTTCAATACCTCTTTCATCATAGATTACTGGATTTGAAGGATTTTCTGTAAACATTGTATTTAAACAAATTATTAGTATATGAATGGAAGTATGTAAATATGTAAACATTGTGGATTCTGAGCTTTATAGCTAAGTGAGAATTCCTGAAAGGAGACACAAAAATATTTTAATTTTCTTTTTTGTTGTAATTTGGTATAAGTTGTATTTTATATAAGAAATCATAATTCCAAAGAATTTCACAAACAAATTTTGTTGTTAATATTATTGAATATTGAAAATTTTGAAGGTAAGTATTAAATAAACTAATTTATAAATCTTATTGATCGATTTTCATGGTTCACGTTTCATTTTATTTGTCTTGAAATAAAGTATGATTGACATTATTTTCAGATAAAAATATTTAGTTTTAATACAAAAAGTAATTGTTTATTTTTAAAAAGTTAATAATAAATAGTGTTCTGGACGATATTTCTAGTCGAAAAAGTTACTAAAATATACCCAACCACGTATATTGATGAATCGAAACGTACTTTAAAAAAAAAGAATTAGTAAACATAAAAACAAAAACCTGGAATCTGTTGTGAACAAACATCAAATTGAGTATAATATAATATAATTTCTGATATAAATAATTTTTTGTTTAATTTTTTATTTTAGTTTTAAAATTGTGTTGAATTTATTAGGAAAACATTTTTTATTAATGTGATCTGATGATGGTGGCGATCCAGAGTACCAAAACGTCGTCTATTTAATTTTATAAAAAAAGTAAGAGTGTTTTTCTTTTACATTTTATACGTCTTCCAAAAATCGAAAAAATTAATTTATAAAATAATTGTGGAGGAATTTACTGAATATTGAATTAAAAAACTGGTGCCAAATTTTATCACTAATAGTTTTGTAACACTTGGTTTTTGTTCTACTTGACGCGATACACTTTCATTAATATTGTTTATACAACTCAGGCGTATTATAGTCACTTTATCTACCTGTACAAGCGCATACAAGTGATCAAAATATGCCTTTGTTGCATAAAGTTAAGTATGCATCAAAGGAGGTAAGTCCGAGTTTATGTGCCGAGCACAATATTAAAGAACGAGTCGTAGCACGAGCAAAGCTTTTTTCTCAAAACTGTATTTTATAAATCGGTAGATACTCCACTCTAGCTGTCACAAATTTCAATCAATTCTCTTAGATTTTTTAAATTTTGTTTGTAATATAATTATCTAGCGAAATACGTAAGAATTTTTCAAAATATTAATATTTACATCTTCTAGACAAGTTTAAGTAACGAAATTTAGGAAAAAAATACGCACTTTTTCCTTCAAATCGTTGTCATTTTGCGAAAAATGCATTTTTTAAAAACGGATACGTATTTTGCTAGATTTTGAGTCGCAGAAACTAATGCTTTTTTATTTTTTGGTCTAGATCAATTCTGGACTGAGTTATAGTGTCCACCGCACGGCAATACATTTTAATTTTCTTAAAAAAATTTCTATTCTTCAATAAAAAGTGTATATTTTGATAGGGTCAAAGTGGTGTGACCCTTTAAGAAAGAATTAAATTTGGAAATTATATTTATTTCTTTTCTTAAAATTGGTAAAATTAGTGTTTTAGAAGCGGAGTCCTTATTCCGACCAAGTATATTGTTGTGTTTCTTCATGATTCGCACAATGATAAATCTATATTCTTTTAACCCACTTGTTGCGTACCCTGTTCACTTTAATGGCAGCGTTTGCACGAGCAGCTTTAGGGCCAGAGTCTCGCCCTGCACCTCAGTACAAGTTCTTAAGTTTATACAATTTAGGACTTCGTGACATTTTTTTCTTAACGGAATATTTTTTAAATATTACTGACGCGATCAAGTGAACATGTGTTTATGAGACGTTCCTAGTTTTTACATTATACAGTTCAAACTATTTTATTAATTGTCCTCTTGTGCCACCTGGATTATTTTCGTCTCGCAAATGAGTTAAGGGGGAACACTAGTTGTAACGTTAAAAAGTAGTGCCTTTTTCAAGAATTTTTTTCTAATAAACCATAAAACTTTTTTAAAAATACTATTTATTACCTAAATACTTTGCTTTACAACAAGTACATACATAAGGCTTTAATTTAAAAAGAAAAAAAATTTTATAAAAATCTTTCTGAGATATGACCCATTGAAGTGGCGCCTGCGGAAAAAACATAAATTACGGTGACCAGCATTCCGCAAGTATAGTTCGTCTGAAATGCAAAATGAAATTGATTTACATTTATTATAAGATTATCTAGTTCCTGATCGAAGGACTTCTTTTTTATGCAAAAATTTTTTTCCTACAGCTGAAAATCCACTTTTATTTTTAACCAAAATCATGCTCATGACTTTGACAGGATGACATTTTGTCAAATATTTTTTTTAAATCCTTGGATCGAGAACTAGATAATCTTATAATAAATGTAAATCAATTTTATTTTTGCAGTTCAGACGAACTATACTTGCGGAATGCTGGTCACCGTAATTCATGTTTTTTCCGAAGGCGTCACTTCAATGGCTTATATCTCAGAAAGTTTTGGATAAAAAAAACCGACGAATGTTTGGTGTTTAAAAACCCATCGGCATGTAAATAATGCGTTTTTCTCATTAATATAATTTCCGCGGCTACGTTATCCATTTTTTAAATAAATTTAATATTGACAATAAATTCTCAACAAATTTAAGATTGAAATTGAAACACAAAAAATTTCGAATGATACCACGACGAGAATTTACATGTCAAATGATACAAAATATTGAAACCATGAAACAAAGGTTACACAAGACACAACTTCATGTCAAACAAAAGAAAGTGGAATAAACAATTTGTTTCCCGCTGAAATAAAATACAATTTTATTGGACTTTAGGTATATTTTTTGGACTTTTCAATATTGAACAATTTTTAATTTTGACTTTTTGAACCTTTTGGACCTTCTAATTATTGGACTTTTTGTATTTTGGAATTTCTATTTATTGGACCTTTTGGATTTGGACCTTTCATTTTGGACATTCTGTACTGTAATCATATTTATATATTTTCTTTTAGTTTTATTTACTTTAGTTAATTTCCTTTGTGTTATAACGCGCTTGAACTTTATTTATTATTTCACTTTTCATTTCTCACTTTTGTCACTTTATTTTATAACCATTTATTTACTCACTTATTTTATTACTTCATCTTTATCTTGTGGTCTATTATTCAGACCTTCAATTTAATTCAAAAAACAAGAGCTTCGTACAATAAACTATAGCCCTAACTCTCCGTCTTGGTGACGCCGAGACACACGGGCAAATGCTCAGATTTCCCTGTGTTTATCGATTTTATTCATCGACATTACAGTGTTGAAATCATTCTTTAGTTTATTGCACCTCCTCGTTGCCAGGCGCTTTTCTGCAAGCTTGCAGTTTTAGGCAGTGGTGTGATCATGGTTCATTAACCTAGACACACCACTCCTTAAGTTTCACAATACATTAGTATCTGAAGCCTCATTCTTTTAAGTTAAGTTAAATTCTTAATCTTTTTTAATGTAAACTAGCATTAAATCGCGCGGCTAACTTCTTACTACCTTTTATAAATAAAATTAGCAATTTTAAAAAGAATAAAATTTGGAAATTTTCTAATTTAAATTTTTGTTGAAAATACTAAAAAAATTTAATTTTGTAGAATTTAAAAATAATTGGAAAAATTCTTTAAAAAAAAGTCTTCTTATTACATTCAACTATGTTCAAATCTTGAAAAAAATTCTTGTAAAAATCCCAATTATCTTTATAAATAACAAAATTCTTCTCCAAAGTTCAATTATTTTCAGAAATTTTTCTAATTTTAATGATTTTCAATATCTACGATTTTCATAAAATATTTCCCAAAACGAAAACTTGTATGAAAATGGCGGCCGTTTTCTCCAATGGGCAAGAAAAATGTTCGTGAACAGCTAATTTTCTTGCCCTTGGAAGAACACGGCCGCCATTTTCATACGGTCAAGGAAATGAATGACTTTCCACCCTGTCGACTGCTATCAGAAAGCGCCATTTTTGTCCATGTGGGATAAAAAAAATTTTAATTTGAAATTTTAGAAAATGACAATTTTGAATGAATGAATTAAATAATAAAAATTTCAGAGGAATTCTATTATTTACAAATTTTTTATAAATTTCTTTGCAATAATTCAATTATTTTCGTGAAGAATAACATTTTTTTAACCAGGAATTCAATTATTTTCATAAATAATAAAATTCTATAGGTATGTACACTACCGTCGGGAATTATCGGTACGGCTGCACACGCACGGCCCAAAAACATACCAATCTTTAAATCACGATTTTTTTGTAAATACAAATGTCAGAAAATTAACAAATATACCATTCGAAAGATTATTAAATACTACAATTAATGGTACATAACTGAAAATTTTAATAATTTATACAAAGATTGCAGCAATCGACAAATTTGACAAAAAAATTTTAAAAATACAATTTTTTTGGAAATTTTTTCAACCCCTGCACATTTTTTAAAAATTGTAGAAAAAAATTGAAACTTACATAAGTGTGATCCTTTAAGTCTCATCTTTAATTTAAGACCAAAAGAGTTTAAAAATCTTATTCGGTTCATGAGATATCGTTATAAACGTCCGAGCATGTTTTTTGACAAATGCATTGAATTAGTCGATTTTGAACGGTTTTTGGCTGAAAATGCTCGGACATTTATAATGATATCTCACTAACCGATTGAGATTTTTAAATTTTTTTGGCCTTAAATTATAGATGAGACTTAAATGATCACACTTATATAAGTTTCAAATTTTTTTTGCAATTTTTAAAAAATGTGCAGGGGTTAAAAAAATTTCCAAAAAAATTGTATTTTTAAAATTTTTTTGTCAAATTTGTCAATTGCTGCAATCTTTGTATAAATTATTAAAATTTTCAGTTATGTACCATTAATCGTAGAATTTAATAATCTTTCGAATGGTATATTTGTTAATTTTCTGACATTTGTATTTACAAACAAATCGTGATTTAAAGATTGGTATGTT